CCCTGGCGTGAGGCATTCGCGTCAAGCGGCCGGTGCCCGGCAGAGGCTTACGTGGAGGAGGCGGAGGCGGTGGCGGCGGCAGCGGTGGCGCCGGAGGCGGTGGCGCCGGCGGTGGCGGCGCGGGGCGGCGGCGGCGGGCTCCCCCCGCGGGCCGCGGGCCCAGCGCCACGCCAGCAGCCCACTGTTAGCAACGAGCAAGTGTCACCCGCCGCCGCCTCCACTCCCGCCACCCGCCCCGCCTCGCCCCAACCGCCCCCGCCTCGCCTCCACCCGCGGCCATTCGCCCCCTCCTTAAACGCGCTCATGGTGTCGGGGACATGAGGTAGGAATGCCTACTTGCGAAACGTGTCACAACCGTATTTCATTGCATTGTGCTAATCTATTTTCTTACGTCAGAAAGACAATTTGGATATCACGTGGTTAGTCACAGAATTACAAAAGCCGAGTACAGCATGTGAAACAGAAGAAATTACCACAGGACGGAGACTCACGTTTCTCATCGGGGATCGCTTACTGCCGCCTCGTTGCCAGCAAAGAGATAAATTTTCTGAAAACAGAAAGACTACTAAAATTTTGGAAGCATTTGCAAGGACATTTAATAATTTATTCTTTTTTAATTTGCTTTAAAATGCATGGAATAGCTTTAGCCAATTTGGATTAATAATTCTCCTCGTATTATTTATGAAGCTATCTAGAATTTTAATCTTATATAACTTGGTATGTGACTAAATTTAAGTCGCTACCTGTCAGTTTCATCAACATTCATGCAATTAGAACAGACATGTAATTGAAATATTATATGTGCTTAAAAATTGCATCCAGGTGTTGAAATAACAACTACATAACCTTATGGCAATTAAGGGACTTCAAGCCATACTGCTTTAACTATCTATTCGCAATACGCAACATAAATTACACATTATTTCATAAATTAAAAAGAATTAGATAAATCAGAATGAGTAACAACAAATGACATTAAATCATACAGCACCGAAAAAAAGCTATGTTTGACTGCATTATTATGCTTAAAAATGATAATTCTTTTTTTAAAGAACTCTTCAAAACACATTACTAAACAAAAAAAAATTGACATCCTACTTAAATAAGTTTTTTTAAAACAGAACAGAAGGGAAAATCGTCGAGTCGTATTGCTCCAATATTCGCATGATCAATATTTTTCTAAAAATAAGTATCTATTATTAAATAAATTATTATATGTAAATTTGTGAAGTAATGACATTTACATTCCCATCATACTTTACGGCACCCTAGGGGTTGAAACCGCTATTTGAAGCGAAATGGATGGAAATGAAAATAGAAAGTATAAATATTTTTTTAAATGTATGATATTTATATTTATTTACTTTTTAGGTATCTATACCACTCAAGTATTTCAACGTACTTTCAAGACTCTTTCATTGCCATTTCCACTTCCTAAAGCACTTCACTTTGTCTTCCAACACGCGAAATCGCAGCATGTTTGATGCACTGAACATACGTAACTGTGATGGTTGCCGAAATGTATAAATCCAACACCCGTTTGAAATAGCAATGATTTTTTTCCTTTCATCAAATTTCCAGTCTCTTTATTTAGAAATACCTCATTAACTCGTTGAGGGCTATAAAATTCGATTTCCAGAATCGTTTATTGACATTAAATTTTCCAAAACATTAGCTGTAACCGTTAAACTTCCAATTAAATATCATTATTTTAACGATTAAAACAAGAACTTCAAGTTAAAACAAATTTTTTTGAAGGAAAATCATCATAAAACTACATGATTTTAGAAAGAACCATGTATGAAGGCGGCAAATATGGGAAACGTTACTTTTCCATGTAACACGGTTCGGAATTGGGATTGTAATGCCCGACAGAATAGAAAAATATGTAGTGTGAATGAAGGCAAAATTAAATGAGCTGCCGAAAGTTCATTATAATTCGAGAAGCTATCGTTGATTCTCCTAAATTTTCGCCCCCAAACATCATGGCTGAGGCAAGGGCCACCCAGCGACGTTGTGGTATCTGTGTGTGCGCGCCGCACGTGTGATGTGTGGCCCGGGGCGGCAGCGGAAGCGTGTTGGCGCCTATCGCAGCATCGCGGCCCCGCCCCACCCGCCCCGCACCCGCCCCCCGCCCCACCTGGCCCGCCCCACCCGCCCCCCCCGCTCCCCCGCCCCACCCGCCCCCGCTCCCCGCCCGCCCGCCCCCCGCCCCACCCGCCCCGCCCCACCCCGCCCGCCCACCCGGCCCCACCCCCGCCCGCCCGCCCCCGCCCCACCCGCCCGCCCGCCTGCCCGCCGCCCGCCCGCACTGGTCGCTCGCTCGCCTCGCCTCGCCGCGCCCGCAAGTGGCGGCGATGAGGCCTTGCCTGCCCGCCCGCCGGCGCGTTCGCTTTTGTTCTTGGAGTGTGGTGCGGAAAAAAGCGGAAGCGGGATGTTCGTGATTGCAGCCAGCTCGCGTCCCCGCCCCCTCCTCCTACTCCTCCACCCCCACCCCACCCACGCGCCTCACGCCGTCGCCCACGTCGACGCAACAGCGACTTCGCAGAAGTGCAGAGTGAGCTTCGAATTACAAATTAGTTTAAAGTCATATTTGGGACGGAACGACGTACTTACAAGGGGTTACGTAGATAAAGAACCAGCTGTGTTAATTTCTGCACATACAGCCACTTCAGTTCGCAATCTCTGATACCCAACCGTTTTATTGTATCTTTTCCAAAATTTTACGATATAAACGAAATTGATTCTTATCTTCGTGTAGCGCCTCCTAAGAAGGACGTCTGAAATATATTTCAAATTGTTTGTAATAAAAATATAAAAAATAGTTATAAACTTTTTTTATATTTATATTATAACCCACTAAATATTTTTTTGAAGCTGTCCTTGGAATTCAAAGATTTTATATGAAAATCGATTATACTACTATTATGTTCCATTTAAGAAATTCTAACATTCATGTAGGAACCTCAAAACATCATTTTGTTTACGTGATAAATATAAATAACCTAAAAATTTACCTACATTTGATACTGCTCCACTATTAAGGAGATCACAATTTTGAGAATTCCTCTAGGTTAAAAATTTGTATAGTTTCATACAAGAAGATAAGAATTCATTACGAAAGAAATTAAAATACACGAAAATATTGTGAAAATGGGGACGTAGAAGAAATTGTTGAAAGTATGGAATTACTATTGTATTTGAGTGACTGTTTTCTAGAGTATTAATTAATTCATATTCTTTATGAATTTGAGAACAATTATTTAATGTTCATCCAAAAAATATGGAGTTACATGTCTTTAAATATCAAGATCAAAATATTATTTTAACAATATTAGGAAGAAAAGTAGAATGTTAGCTAACTATCACATTTTCAGTTGCTAAAAACGTTCACTTAATTTTTTGTCAAATTATCAACTTCACTTCGTCTCTTTGGTGCAATCTTCCGAGTTTCTCATTTCATTCTAATTTCTCTTGTGATGGATGTCACCCTAGCAATTGCATCTTTGAAGTACGAATCATTTTGAAGGAAGCGGGAAACTTTCCAATAGTATGTAATAGTAGATACAAATCTGGACTAACTAGTACATGCATTTTTTTGGAAATACCTGTATCGTATCTTAATAATAGCAGTAACGCAAGAAGTGTAAACATGTATTCGTTAACATTAAATACCTTCAAATTATCCACATGTCTCACAACGGATGATAATAATTTCTCCATCTTTCTTATTATAATTAAGAGCACGTTGAATACTTTTAAAGTGGCTTTGTGTAAACTGAACGAGTTCTATATTCAGACCAAAAAGAATTCAAGTATTCAAATATACTTTCAGGAAAAGTAGCAAGATCTTATATAAACATCATAATTTGATTGCTTCACAATATTCAAATTAAGAGTTTCATTAATTAATTTCTATTTGATGCAATTTGTAAGAAAGCTCCGAAATAAATATAATAATTATACTTGGAGACGTGAGAACTAATCTATGCTATTTCTTATTATTTATAGTATTGATTTATATTAGACACCGTTCAACATTCTATAGTCAGTCTCTTTGGCTGCTGCGGCACACGGTGATGCCGGCAAAGCGGCTGGCCCGCCGCGCATGCGCACAAGCATTCCCGTACGGTAGTTCGGCGAGCTGCCGCCAGATGTCGCGGGCGTCATCGGCGCGAGCCTTGGCCACAGTGGCCGAGACGCGGCGTGGCACGGCGCTGTCGCCACCGCTCCCGCACCGCAGAATTAACTTAATAAGTCATGAAGTCCCAACAAGTACCCGGCTTACGTGCACAGTACATGAAACCCCTGAGGAAAAGATAGTGGCAGTGCACAAATCGTGTTAGCGGCGCGGTGGCGTGGGCGTCATCGATGGTCATGGCTACGGGCTCCGAGGCATCACCTGCACGGGGCGCGAAAGAGGCAGTGTGGAAAGGATTGCCTCACGTATGGAGTGATTTCGTATTGTGAGCTGGTCTGCAAAAACATGCCAATTTTTACAAAACTCGATGAATAACTTCGAAAAAGAAGCCTCCCTTTCATTTCGTAAAGAATCCTTCAAAAGTTTATCTGAAAATAATGGTTCATGTAACAGAGACCCAGAATTTGTTGTGGTGTGTGTGTGTGTGTGCGCGCGCGCGAAAGAGAGACAGCAGGCACTAGTGGTCAGTCATTTTGTTTCTTTCTTATAAAGTATAATATAAAAACGATTGAGTTGTTTAATGACGTTTGTATGTATAGAAAATGTGTAAAACATATTTTTAATATTCATCTTCGATTTCGGGGGTGGGGGTGAAGCTTTTGTGATGCAATTGCGCCTCGAATAATGTTGGTTTCCCTTTTCTAATATTAAACGATAATAGGTAATCGTGGAGAGAATGTGATTTGCTCAGTCTGGTTTGTGTTGTTGTTATTACTAAAAAACTCGTAATTTTAATAACGAACGCGTCCGGCTTTAGCCTCAAATTCTTGTGATGAACCAAGTTGAAGGTGCTACTCACTTCTTTTCCCGTTTGCCTGCGCCGGTGTCCCGGAAGCCCTTGGCGAACGGGTTGTTGTCGATCTTCAGCTGCGTAATCTGAAACAGAAATGCGCAAGGGGTGACGGAAGTGCAGGAGAAGAGGGTACATAGTAATGTCGTAGTAAAGAGCTCAACAGAGTATGGCATGCTGTTTTTTGCGTTTTTTATTTACTTTATTATTTTTAGGCTATGAATTTCAGACCACTTAATTTTTCGATATGAGGCAACTGAAATTTGCTAAATCCGTTTGAAGCCATTTTAATATAATTGGTGGAAAGCTAAATAAGTAAGAAAGTTAACATAATTTCTACTATTTTCTGCAACACTGAAGAATGTGGTAGCACATCGACAATATCATTTTTCATTTAAATTTCCCACCTTCAGTTTACTAATACAGGTGCATAAAATGTGTGAAAATGTTATTACAACTCCTCGAAGCTGACCTCATTATGACAAAAGAAAATAGCACTGTATCATCTCGAAGATTCCAGATAAAGAATTCCCAGATATTAGGTCGTGTTTTCCTTTTTATAATTTTCATATTAAAGATATTAATCAAGATAGGTTCTTCAGTGCGAAAAGTTAGATTGTGAGTAAGCGTAAATTAATTCTCTACATGCAAATTTACAATCGACTTGCTCAATCATAAAACATCAAATTTTCTATTGAAGAAGAGCGACATGACAGTTTTCCATTTGACGTTTGAATGTTCAATGTCGATAAAGTCACTCTAACTTTCACTTTCTTCCTTGGCTTCGTTCAAGCCGTATTTATTCTGCAGCCATTTGTCACAGATGGTCCGCTGCAACCAATAAACCCCCCGAGGCCATCGGATCGAAGCCCGGCGATCGCTCGCAGCGCGGAGGGGCCGTCGCGAACAGCACCGGCGGGCAGTTTCGCGCAGGATGCGCGCGAGATAGGCGCGGGCGGGCTACCGGTTGCATCGCCTGCATCGGGAGCGGAAACGCGCGAAGCGGCGGCGCATCCATAATCGCCGTCGCGCCGTGCCGCCGCCCTCGCCGCCCCGCGCCACCTGGCGCCGACACGCGAGCGTCCTGCCCGCCGGGGATGGGCGGCGGCGGCGCCGCGGCAGCGGTGACGGCGATGGCGGTGGTCGTGCTGGTCATGGTCAAGGCGATGGAAGAAGTAGTGGGAGGCAGTAGTACCGGCGGCGGCGGCAATAGTGTTGGTGGAGGCGGTGATAGAGGGGCACGGTGAGAGTGGTAGCGGCGGTAGGGCGGGTGGTGGTGGTGGTGGTGGTGGTGGTGGGAAGGCGGTGATAGAGGGACGGTGAGAGTGGTAGCGGCGGTAGGCGGTGGTGGTGGAGGTGGATGCTCCGGGGTGGGCGGCGTTTGGAAGCGGAGTGGCAGCGGCGCGGCGATGGGAACGATAGCAACGCGGACGGAAGTGTTGCGACGCGACGGGGGCGAGAATCCGTCAGCGAGCGGAACTGAATAAAAAAGTATACGGTCTGCTCGTGAAAAATGCTCGAGAGCAAACAGCGACCAAAGTCGTAATGAAAGGGTACTAAAGACGTAATTCCCACTGTCTTTATGTAAGCATTTGATAGTTTCCTCTCCTTTTTCCTGTCTTTTTTGTGGCTTTTTCAATTTTATCTTCTACTCGGTCTCAACTCACTTCGCTAATCTTATCTTTCTCTCTTTTTACATGCATATTCCTTTCTTTCTCTTCTTTTTTTCAGTCGCTTTTCTAATTGCTATTTTTGACCTATCTTTTATCTGCTACATTCTTTCACATTTACTCTCTTCCTTCTTCCCACTTTTGCTTTAATTTTAATTTTTAAATTTTCCATGATTTTTCGATTTTATTGGAATTTTAGTTCCTTGAATTAGTCCTCTTCTCTCATCATTTTGATAGACATAGAACATTTGGTCTTTTGTATAAGAAATAAGTGAAACTATAGAAAGTTGGTTCCAATATTTTTTCTTTATTTTTCTTTCCTTTCTTTCTTCCTTCCTTCCTTCCTTTCTTTCTTTCTATCTATCTATCTATCTATCTATCTATCTATCTATCTATCTTTCGTTCTATCTATTTATCTTTCCTTCTTTAGTTGTACACAAAAGTAGTTGAAATCTTCAACTATTTCGTTTACAATGGGGAAATTTAGAGTCAATTATCAAACAAGTATTGAAACCAAAACTCCCCAATTGAATTACTTTACACTTTTATTTGCTCATCCGCAACTAACTTTAACAGCCAACCTCAAGTTCCCTTCAAATAAGTTGCATGTGCAACATTTCTCTGCAACGTAAGAACATCGCGCGGGAGCGAGTGCGGGAGCGTATGCATTCCCAACTGGTGCCGTTCTAGGCGGTCAGAATCTCTCATTTACGAGCAATTTCCTGGGAGGCGGCGACGAGTGTCCCTCCGGCAGAGCGCATTCAAGTGCGCAAAGTGCGGCGAACGGAAAGAAGGCCCCACTTTCTTCTCGGTGAGGCGCCGCCGCGAGGTTGAGCCACGTGGCCAGCTCACGCCCCGCGCCGCCCGGCGCCGCCGGCCGAAGACACGGCGCGCGCGGTGAGAAAGACGGAGCTTATCCCCGGCCGCGTGTGTACTCAGGCTGCCCTCGCAATCTCGCGCGCCAGGTTCCGACGGGGAATTCAGAGCGAAGGACGACGCGACGGCGCTGGAGAGCGGCGATGCAAGATGGGTGCGTCACATAGGGACACGACGTTTTCTCGAGGTATTAATAGAGAGTTTTAGCAAATCGAAGATATACGGCAAACCTCTTCCAAACACGCTCACGTACACGTTTACATTGGCGTTTCTAAAGTCAATTAGTAAACCATTAATAGTTAAATGAACCAATCACTAAGCTATTGATTTGTCATATGAAAATAATCATGTTTGTTAGCACTCTGTTCACTGTGTTCCTGACTTCCATTTGCTACAATCTTCAAAACTATTTACACATACGATTTTCTACAGTAAATAACCTGCAGTATATAGCACAGGTAGCATGTGTTCATCGAATATGTTTTCCCCTCTCCATCTACCATAAGAACATCTGAAAGGTTCATTGAAAAACTTAAGAGAGGATGCATTGTAAGTTAAAATATTATAAAGTAATTGTAAACGTAAAATATACGGAGACAATTAACTTTACTGCTACTTCTGATTTCAACTATTACAATTGACATTGATCGGTGTAATCTAAAGCGGAAACAAGTAAGATACATGCCTTCCTTTCCATTTGCATTCCGAGGACCACAAATACTATCAATTGAGAAAAGATGGAATGCATTTTCCACACAGATAGGTTGAAAAATCTCCATAATATCCATAAAGTATCACCATCCACAAATCCAGAGGTTTGTTGTGTTGGAACGTAAATGATTAATACTTAATCGTTTCATATTATTACAAATAAATAATGAAAATATGTTGATTCTTTAAACTAGTTTTTAATTGAATATTGTCTCACAACCTTCATGAAATAGATTTTGCAAAGGCATTGAAACAATCATTTACCTAACGATTTTATTTACAACCATTATCCCAATGTTGGAATCAATCCATTATCTGTTCATCATAAAACTAATTGAATTTCAAAAAGGCACGAAGTGAGGAAAATAACTGTACGTACATATTACAGCTGATAAGTGCCAACAAACAAAACAAAAAAAAAACGGAACGTAGTAAACAAACTTACCACGATACCTATCGTAAACAAAATGACTAGCGATCATAATTCACAGTAAGCACAAAACAATAACGAATATATTTTTTATAGTTTAGAAGGGAAGATAGCTGACCTTTAGCAGCAATTATCTTTATAATTTTCTTTACGATGCCATTCTCAGGGTTGTTCGTATTGAATATTCTACCGCCACCTGGGTCTTCCAGGATCTCTCGCCAGTGGGCGAGTACTTTAATGCTTTTCTCAGTAAGCTGTCAGGGATCATTCGCATTTAATACCCTTTTCACGTCGCTTTGTATCCTTTATTATTCTTGTAATCACAAGAAAGTGTAGATCTTCAAGATTATTCTAATGTAAAACACATTTCTTTCAAAAACTGCAAAATTGCTTCTTGAATTTGACATCATTTCTTTACACTTTTGTTCTTAAGAGACAATTTCATTTTGTGACAGATGATCATAAAAAATGAACTGAGAACTCAGTATTGTAGATTTATTGGTTTCTTTCAACAGGGTTATCCAAAAACTATTGCAAGAGTTTGGGGAACTTAGAAAATATGAAACATTTCAATACTATTGCGGCATTAAAACACACTGTAGGACACAAGAAAAGGATGGAGGAACCCAGGCAGACAATATTCCAGATAAAGTGATATCTTCAGAAAAGTGATCGGAAGTAGAGATGCGACATCGATAACCAAACATCGATGTTAGCAAACATCAATGTTCAAAATTAAAACATCGATCCAAAAATCTAATTTTGACTTGTCTCGCGTCGTTTATACTTATACTAACGGTAATTTGTTCACATTATTATATTTATGAGTATATGTGCTTTAAATAATGTCAGATAAAACGTATCGAAAACTCAACCATTTTCTGTGAAAACTAGCTCAAAATTCTGCATTTTCAGAAATGTTCAAACGTCATTTTCTCAAAAATGATTCCAAATTTATTTTTCAAATATTTCGAACGGACAGTACTAATTGCACTCTTTAAAATGTTACACAAATGTAAATTATTTGAAAGATATCTCATGCCGTTAATTTACACATTTCCGGCGATTTGTAAACACTGTTGTATTTGTGAGTTAATGTGCTTCAAATCACTTCGAATGAAGGTTTTCGGAAACTCAATAGGTTTCTGTGAAAAAGGGGTCCAAATTTCGGATTTACAGTAGCGCTTAAACGCAAGGTTTTTAAAAGTGGCTCAAATTTTTTCATAGAATATTGCTATTTAGGACGAGGTTTTGCTGTTCTTTAGTATTCTTAAAATAACTTTTCCGTTATACTATTAGAAAACCGAATTAAGAAAATTTTAAAACATGTACTTTGAGCGGCGATAGATAGAAGCTGGCAAAAGTATGTGACAAGCTTGAGTAGCGCCATTATATAGCA